ATGTATCTATTTAAATGATTTGTTTCTATTCTTGTGAATGTTCTCATGTTCATATGTTCTAGCATAAAAAAATAAGACGGCATCAACTGAAACGATGTCGTTGGATCACCTCTAATCAATTTTAATGTGTGTTCACGCGACCTCCATGCTTTCACATAATTCACTGATACTCCATATTCATGTAACATGTCATTCGAGATATCATTAGGAGTGTATACTGTATGTGAAGACGTGTATTTGTACCTGATGCAGTTTGACATAATTGAGCTAGATGCTTGCCGATGAGATCTTAAAATCATGTTAATCGAGCATGTGTGACTATTAGACATTTCCCTGATCTTAAACATTTTCTTTTCTCCCAATCGTGAAGATCTAAATATCCATTTGCAATGATTATGCACACACTTTACCACGTACTCCTTCTTGTCTGATCTGAACACCTTATATTCAAACTTGTTTTATATAGCATAGAAGCTCAAACTCATTTTTAATATGTCATTGTTGCGAAAAACATTTCTCTCCACTACTGCTCTAAAATCTGCTTCAGATACCAATGTCACGTCATCTTCAATGTTTTCTTTGTCAACAATCACAACTGAGTCACAAATTTCTTGAGCTATTTGTTCTAAAGAAAACACACTAGCTGATGACTCGGAAGTAGTCGACGAATCTGGGCATTGCAATGTATATCTTGGCTGCCATGAAATTGTAGAGATAATATCAACCATAATAGGATAACTCGATACAACCCCATTCAAAGATTTTAACCTCAAATACGTTAGGACATTATTATTGCTCAAAATCCGTACTAGAGGTAAACTAGAATCCAAAGAATATGTTAATGTCACAGTTAAGTTGGCACCATTAAGCCCCAATTCCGAAAGAACAAGCTTGAGCAATTCATCATACTTGCATGTATCATTCATTAGTATAAGATACGTGTGACCTCTGTATAACAAGCAAACGTGTAAAACTGGCATTCTTAATCATACACAGAACATCCAATTCCTCTAAAAGCGAACTTCAATTTCTCTTGAAAAATGAAAATCGGAAGTATGTCTATAGAATTGTGAAATTATTCCTTGATTGTGACTTAAAATCGAGGATTAACGGTGATTATACATTTACCTTTGAAATCAGACCACATGAGTTCAGTTTTTGCTTTGAAAAAATCCAATTCCGCCATAGCCAACTTCAACTTCTCCAAAGAAGAAAAAATCAGAAGTATTTCAACGGGATTGTGACTTGAAATCGAAGATAAACGGTGAATTTTTTTGATTTTGGAGATGTTCGCCACGATGGGTTTGTATAGAGAGAGGGGGGGTGGGGGGGGGACGTTTGGTTGTGGGAGGATTGTGAAAGAAATCTTTTAAATATAGTATAGTAAGATTTGTAGGAGTTAATTTGGTATAGTATATTTAATTTAAACTTACCGTATATTATATTATAATTATACATTTAATATTATGAATTAGCACCTGATTTTTGAAATTTTTTAGGGAGTGTGTGAATTTTGAAATGTGTATTTATAATGTGATAATTATGTACTGTTCCCTTATTATTTTGGCTCTGTTTATTTTGGTGAAAGTAATCTCATTATTAAAGATAGATTCTTATTGTTTTGCAACCAATTGGAGGACCACTTTACTAAAATCTAGATTAGAAAAACTAAAATTTTAATTTCTTGTTATGAAAAGTACATCTACGTTTCTCAATTTCCAAACATATTTGTGAAGATAAGTAGGTATGTCAAATTAATCATCTATAAAATTATATTTTGTTTCAATTTAATCATTGATTCTAGAATTGTGATAAACTAATTCCCGTAATTTATAAACTTGTGTTCCATTTTTAGCTTTCTAGATATTATATTATTAGAGAAGAACATAACATTTAGGGCGTGTTTGAACTACATTATTTTGAAAAAATGTATTTTGAAATAGTAGATTGATGGAGAATGTGTGGTTGAAAAAAAAAGTTATTAATAAGATGGAAAATATTATTTTATTGAAAAATGTGTGGTTGAAAATGAGTAGAAAAATGAAAATGAAAATTTTAATGTGATTCAAACAAAGGCTTAGGTGCTGTTCTCTTTGTATTTGAGTTTTGTGTTTTGAGTTTTGAATTCATTTTGTATTTTGTGTTTTGAGTGTCCATTTTGAGATTTTTGAAAATATGTTCTTTTTGACGTTTTGAAAAATGGTTTTCAAAAATTAGAAAATGAAAATACGTTCTTTTCCTTCCTCACTCCAACTCTCTCTCTCTCTTCTCTCGTTCTCTTCCTTCCTCACTCCACTATCTCCCCTTTATTTTTCCACTCGTCTGATCGTCTCCTTCTTCTTCAGATCCTTCACTGGCGATTTTTTGCTGTGGCGACCCAACTACCGTGATTTTTTGCTGTGGCGATTTTGGTTGTGGTTCGGCCGCTACACTGCGGTGGTGGTTGTGGTGGCGATCAGGTCGCAATTTTTTAGTTGTGGCGGTGGGGGTCTTGGTTGTAGCAGTTGGTTCGTGATTTTTCGGCTATGGTGGTGGGGGTCTAGGTTGTGGCGGTTGGATCGCGATTTTGGTTGCGGTTGGGTCACAATTTTGACTGTGATTGGGTCGCGATTCTGGTTTAGTCGTCATTTGGCTAGGCGGTGGTGGTCTATATGGTGGCAATTTTGGCTGGGCAGTGGGGGTACTTCTGGTGGTGATTTTCCGGTGGTGTTTCTGCGATATTGG